TGATCTTCGACATACTAGGATATAATTTGACGATTGATTCAAAATCGAAATACAAAATGAATAAAATGATTCATATTGTTTCATGAATAAGTCACATGACAAAAATAGTAGTTTCAATTTTAATACTTCGACAAAAAAAACGTATTCGATAATGCTATAAGTTTATTCAAGGTTATGTGCATTTTTTATTGCTATTACTTTAGCACATACGCAATAAAGTTTTTTTTATAAATGACAGAACGACAGGAAAATGTGCTTGTTATGAATGATACTAACTTTCATATCTTTATGAGTCAAAGACATATATATTCAGTGAAAATATTTTAGTGGTTGTTTTGTTCGATAATAAAAATTGATGTATATAGATGTTTTATTATCTTATCTTTAAGCACACTCCTATTTTTAACTTCACTCTCTCTCAATCACTTAAGAACAATGGATATGTATATATATAAAACAGATGTTAAGGAAATATACCAATATATAACATCACTTAGTTGGAAAAATTCATGAATTATTAAATCAATACAAAAAAAGATAACAAGGGAAGAAAACAAGAGAATACACTTGAAAAAATACCTGACGGAACAAAAAAAAAACAACGAACATATGTGAAAGATACCTGTAACACCTTTTCTTTATGGAACGTCATATGTATGTGCCATAACAGTGATGTATGACAAGTATTTATGGTAGCTATGTATGCAAATATCAAGATAAGATGCCTTGTTGGGTTTTACCAAGCTCTACGCAATACACAATAATTAGGAAGAAAAAAAAGAAGGTTTTTTCCAACACCAAATTGATTTGTTTTTTTTTCCGTTCTACTTCCTTTCGATGCATGCCTTTAAAAAGCCAGCGGTATGTTGTTCTTTTACTTCAATTGCGTTAAAATACGTTATATTTGCATTTGAATTTTTACTAATTGGAAAAAATATATAACATTTTATGGCATCTTTTGAACCAATTGTCGTACTTTTTGGTTCAAGTAAAAGTATTTCAACAATAAATTTACGACTTCCAGTTTCATTTATATTTGCTATTAATGAAACATCCCTTGAAGAGCTCATTACTATCGATCCACCATTGTCTAGTACAACCTTACAACGATATTTTATAATTCTTCTTGAATCAATTAGCAACGATGTACTTGAACGCCTACAAACCAATCATCGTGTTCAAGCTATATATAGTCGAGATATATTGACATGTATATCAAATCATTCAAAATTACCTCGTATTATGAATAAACAATTACAACAATTTACACTCGATTTAACAGCAGATATTGTAAATTTTTTTACAATCGAAGGTGAAAAACAAGCAAAATTAGAACGATTAAATTTAGTTCGAGTATATTTTCGTCAAGCACGAATGCTTAAAGAATGGGCTATGTCATTTGCCAAAGTATGTCAATGTTTATTAATCATGTTATTCTTTCTATAATATAGAATTTCTTCAGGCTGAATCATGTCATATTTTACTCATTCCATTGAATAGTAGTCAAGAAAATTTGAACAACGCTCATGAAAGATTACAAAAACTCTGTGAGTATTTATCATAAAACATAGACTATATAAAGATTTATGACTCTTCTATTCTTATCTTCGACATGTGTAGTTTATGTATTCAAAATCTCATTACAGATCTTGGTACAAGATCCTGTTCACTTTTCCATATTTTGTATCTTGACTAAGATCTTGCTTACAGGATATTCTATTAGAGAATGGTACAATGAGAGATTTTTGGTAGATTTCACAACTTTTTTATTTATTCTCTCATATGTAAATGTTTAACTTTATAAATTCTAATTTTAAAAACATAGGTACTACACTAAATTATCCTTCTGTGATCATTCGAACATTTGATAATTATATTCCTTCGATGGATGAGCAAAAGCCATGTCTTCTTCCGTATTCTCAAATACTATTTCATCATGAACATCCACAATATATCTGTGAATTAATTAAAAAATTATCACCATTACGATTATATTTATATGGTAATGAAGAATTTATGTTAAGTGAATGGAGTAATTTAATGATAAATAGTGAAGCTCATGTTATGGAAGACGAAGATAATTGGTGTGCTTTTATTGAAAATGAATATATTGATGATGAAATGAAATGGACTATTGGTCCTAAATTTGGAGCAAACTGGCAAATTAAACGAATAGCACCAATTAATTTATCTGAATTAGATAAAAATCTTCGATTTCAATCTGCTCTTCGTCGAGCTCTTAAAACATGGAATAATCGTCAAAATGAAATAACAGCAGAAATATTTGATTGGTATGATAGATGTATTCGCGAAGGATATCTTCAATTAGAGGTAAAGAGAAAAAAAAAATTTGATTGATATCAATTGATCATTTTTAAGAGTTATTGTGTTTTTTTTTTTCTCAAATAGCCTAAAGTATCTGCACAACATGAAGAAAAACTCGGAAAAAGAAATGTTTTAGATTTATCGAGATCTATTCTTCCAAATCCATCATCATTTGATTATCATCATACTTCAGAATCTAGAGGAATAGCATTTATTTGGCTTGATGAAATTATAAATTCATTAGATAATAATATTAATCAAATAATTGAACCACATCATTGGTGTTTTTTTAATAATGTATCACAATGTATACCATACATTGAAAATCAATTACGTCAACAAAATGAAATATTTCTTGTTGTATCAGGTACTCTTGGTTATGAATTATTTCTTACAGCTTATCGTTTTATGACAGCAATACGATTTGTTTATGTTTATTGTTCTCGACTTGGTGTACATGGAAATTGGATTAAATATTATTCTCAAATACAAGGAGTTTTTAATGATTCTTTAGCATTAGAAGAAAAATTAAAACAAAATTTAGAACAATTAAATCAATCAGAAAATGACAAACAACCACTAACAACAATAAATGTAAGTAGAGAAAATAAATACTGACAAAGGAAAAAAAAAATATTTTTACAAGATGATATACAATAAAATTTTGTTAGCGAAACAATGCAATATGAATAGTCGAACAAAGATACATTTATTTTATCAGATATTTCACAATATTTTAGTGTCTATCAAGTAAATAAGTGAGTCAAGTTTTAAGTCAAAATCTTTATTGAAATCTATTTTTAATCAATAGATCAGGTGATAAACTGAAACATTTCTTGTTAATTAAACTGTGTTCAATGTTTTCTCTGATTAGAAGTCTCACCACTATTGCTAAACAATCGGTCTAGATGTTTTTGCATTTTTTTTTTCTAGTATAAAAATTGATCATTTTCATCACTCAAACTGTTTCTATGAAGTGATAAATTTATCATAGTACATTTTATATATTTTATTAATTCATATTTATATAACTACATTTTTATTTTACATCAAATAAAAGCATCTATTTTGTACAGTCATTAAAAATAACAAAATAAATAGAACATCAAAATTCGAAATAATATACAATTTATTAATCATGTTCATATTTCATGAACATTCAAATGGTGAATATAAAATTTATAGTCCAATGAAGTTTTCTATGTACTAATAGATTTCAAGAGAGAATAATTTATGGAATATTAAATAGTTCAATATGCTTTTGGTAGTGCATTGTCATTATTATAGTGATTAAGAGATAGATACAATTAATCGAAGAAATGATTTTGATTGTTATAAAATCTATAAAGTGAAGAAAAATTTACGTTACTATACTAACCGAGTCGAATCATTTAGATCATTGTTAATAAAAGAAAATCTAATGATTGTAGCTATATCGTTGACATAACTGGTTTTCTATTGTTCTATTGAAGTTAATAACTTTATAAACTTTGAATAGTCTCTTGTGATAAATTCTATGTATCATACTTAGAAGTATCTAGAAGATCTAATTTTTCATTACATATATATAATGCATACTAATCTTTAGATTTCTTGCGAACCAACTTATGATCAAACGTTAATTTCTTTGTCATTACTTGTTTACAATCAAGAACAAGCTAGTGCATTCATAGCTCATCAACGTACAATAGATACTCTTCTTTGTTTACCACATACAAAGGAATCATTTATTGAAATGCTTGAAGAATTTCGTCGTATATATAGTGATAATGAAGTAGCACTTGTCGATATTAATACATTCGAACAAACTTATAATTCTAATACAGCTCTTCAATGGTATTCACGTGATTCATTTCTATATCGCTTAATTAATAAAGCACTTCGATCAAGTGATGTTGATATGATGTTTAAAATGCGATATTTTCTCATTGATCTTTATGTACAACTTGATGGTCTTTATAAAGAAACTCATACATTTTATTCTAGACCAATGATAGAAAAACTTTATCGAGGTCAAATAATGTCAAAAACTGAATTCGAATATTTTAAACAACTTCCAGGACAAATTATATCAATAAATACATTTTTATCAACAACAACATCATTACAAATAGCACTTGCATTTGTACATTTATCTTCAAATAATAATGATTTTATTCGAGTTTTATTTTGTATTGAAACAAATCCATCTGTACAACATAAAAGACCATATGCAAATATATCAAATTTTTCAATGTTTAATGATGAAGATGAAGTTTTATTTGCAATGGGAAGTTTATTTCGTATTCAATATATTGATAAATTAGATAAAATCAATAATATTCCTGTGATATATTTACAAATGGTTGATCAAAAAGAAATTGACTATAATTTTCTTACGTAAATATTGAAGAGTTTTTTTTTTTTATCTATGTAGTTTTCATACAATAAAAGAAACAATCATAAATCTGAAAGAAATATATTTTTTTCTTATTTGTGTGCACAATAATACAAAAATTTTGTTTTTGACTCTTTGAATGTATGACAAACCACCGCTACTTATTTGTACAAATACATTGCTATTAATCCATATATAACACAATGTGCAACAAGGTAAAAAAAAAAAAAGACAAAAAAAAAGACAAAACAAAAAAAAATGGTTTTACATTTAGTGTTATTTTTGTTGATCGACAATAATGACACTACTATTTCCAACACAGCAAGTCCCATATTTTCAAGATTCAACAAAAATTTCTCGTAATCTTAATTATCCATTATGGCATCTAGAAGATGTTCTATTACCATTATTTGGAAAAAGTTATACAAATGATAGTTTACGTGAAACAATTCTTAGTGCAAATCATATTTGGTGCGTACACAAAAATGGTAAATGTGTTGGATGTGCATTGATGACTGATGTTGGATCCAATCGTGGACTTTATATGATGCTATTTGGAATAAAAAAATCAGAACAAGGTCGTGGACTTGGTAAACGTTTATTAGAAAATATTATAAGATGGTCTCGTACACATGGATATAGATTTATATATTTACATACAGAACATAATAATCAAAAGGCAATACAAATGTATAAAAAAGCAGGTTTTATACAACAAGCTTTTCAACCTAATTCTTTTGAACAATTACCACAGCTTGGATCTGGTGTTGTTCCATTGGTATTGTTCTTACTTTGAAAAGAAAAAAAGAAAAAGATTATTTTTATATTCATAAGTTAGTATTAATTACATCTATTTTCATTTAATACTTTTCTTATAAAGTTTTAATAATTAATTTTTGAATAACAATAAAAATAGATTATTCTTTGAGAAGTATAACTAATCACAAATTTTATTTTATTGTTTTTAATTTAACAAATTCTATAGAGTATGATTAACAAAATGTCACTGTGGTTATTATGCAGTCATATGATTGTGGTTGATGGACTGTAACGATGGATGCTGAAAATTAACAATAGATTGGTTTTGTTTTTCGAATATTTTTCTCAATCTATACAATAGCCGAACGACATAAATAGCTATCGATGCTTTGAATAGTATTATTGTCTATCAAATGTATATTTTTGAAAGTATTCAAATTTGTCTATGGATTTTTCATTCAATTCTGAATTAAGATAAAACAATACGAATTGAAAATTAGACATAGAACAGAAAATCTGTAGATATAAAACTATATGCTCAATGAAAGACTCTTCTATCTTCAATAATATTACAATCAAAGAAACGTTGTTAACCATACTTTAATACTTCTACTGTTCTTCGATTGTATATAACTATGAATAAATCCATGATGAAAACGTCATAGGTCAATTATTTGTTGTAATGAGAATCTACTTCTCATATTTCACATACGTGATTAATTATAATATGTTTTCACCGAAATAATATTCCGTCATCAACTCTTAAAAGTCTTTCCAATTATGAATTCTATAGTAATTCAATAAAACGAAGAAATATGAGTGTTTGTTGATACTACTAAAAGATAAAATTTCTCACAAATCATAATTTTGTTTTGATGGTTATCATAAAGACACTTTTTGATACTCAATTTGCAACAAGTTACGTTTTACTGCCATTTCTACAAAATGTCTTATGCCGACGCAAAAAATATTAAACTTAGAATCGTTTACTTGATTCTTAAAAGAAAATTGGACCTTTAGCATTGCTTATTCTATTCTCAAGGACGATAGTAACTATTGAAATTAGACACGTGAGAGAACGACAAAAAAATGATCACAATTAACACTAATCTATGCTCTTTTTTTATGATCAGTGTGCTACAAGTCATTTTTGTTCTGTTGATGATTGTAACAGATAAAAGCGTCAAAAAAATGTTTTTTCTGTATTTTAATGAATATCAAGGCTATCATTCAAATGTTAATAAATTTTTTGGTTATTTATTTACCGTAACACATTTGCCAGATTTAATATGAAACATTGTAGTTAGTTGCATCAATATAGAAGTTGAACTTTTTCTGAAAGTCAAAATAACTTAAAATCGTATCTTTTTAAAATTGATATACATTTTGAAAATAAATTATCGAATCGATTCAAAAAGAAAAAATTTGAAAGATCATGATAATAGATCACAATAAACTCAAATACTTTGACAAGATGTACATTAACATTAATAAGAAAGAAAGAGTATCAAGATTTTTAAAAGTAAATTCATATTTTTAGTAAACATTTTCCTTATTTACATAACTATGCATGTTGTCAGCAAATTTCTCCAGGAATGAATTTTCAGATTTCATTTAATTCTGAAATTCATCGAAGTCGAGCAACAACATCAATCAAGATACTGAAATGAAGACAAGTGGATTGTGTATTGTGTATTGCAATTAAAATACAGCTTGATAGTATTCTTATTGATAGTTTTGCTCGATTTGTTGCATATACACAGAACCTCAGAGGTTGCTTGTTTTGACATAGTTGGATATAGCATCGATGACTGTATCAAATATTGTAGTTTTTATTTTAATTACTTTTAAGCTCGTTCAAAACCTTGATACATTTAGAAAAGCAGTCATCAATACTTTTTGCATCTCACAATTTTCAGACTATCTTTTAAATAATTTTTTACTACTCCCTGGAGTACTGAAACCTTCTGTTTTCATCTAGAATAATAAATCATTCTTTTCTCTATGGCACTATATATCTTTAATATAAACTTGGCGACTTGCCTGAGAAATGTGTTCCCAAACGTTCTTACATGCATGATGTTAGACTTTAGTGCAAAGAGATTTTGGTTTTTTGAATATCTCTACTTTTTTCTTTAGTGTATACCTAAATAGCCAGCCCGTTAATGTCCCTATCAATTTATTTAACTTTGATTAGATTTACGTAGAGTTTTAAAGATGAGTTTTTGCGAAACGTACTATAAATTGGATTTTCGACAAGTGCAAAAGTTGATCAAACTTTCGCAATAAAATCCAGTTTTCTCCTTAATTTCAAATCAGTGTTGTCTGATATTTTTGCACGTTTAAATTGAATAGTTCTCTTCGATCTAAAGCCATTTTCGTCATTAATGCATTTTGTGGAATTCAAATATAAGTGTGAACAAATTTACTTTCAATGTTCTCGGAATCGATCAAATTTTAATCGAGTTGCAAAAAACAATAGAAACTATATAATTCGATTCACTAAGTGATACTCTATCCAACTATATCGAAGTATAGAATATATACGGCTTTCTATGAATACACTAAACTGAACCCAACTACAAAAAAAACTTTATCAAGTTCTATATTCTAAGTATCTTTTCACTCCTACATAAAAAAAAGTAACTAAACAGCACACTAGTGTCACAAAAAATAAAAATTGTTAATCCTACTTAATGAAACCTAAAAGAACCGACTTATTTTGATAAACGAGTATCGAGCCACTGATTAGAAAACCAACCAAAGTATCATAGTCTTGTAATTAACAGCGTATTAAGAGAAAATATACTATGATCAAATGACAAAAAAACACAACACTAATTCAATCTTATATAAAGGCATCGGTGTCCCATATTCAAACCCAATCGATTAAAATATGGTTAAGCAAGCTTGCCTGGCAATCTCACTACTGTTTCTGGCCACCGTTGTTGGTTACCCTCGTGAGTTTCCAAACTATTTTAGAACATATATGCCTATCCCACACCACATACCTTTTCAGATGGCGGCGACAAACGTACGGCAGAGCGTGGAAATTTTCCATATTCCAGTTATCAAAGTGAAGAAGCCCAAGATATAGAGTAAGTCTTCTTCAAAAAAAAAAGGTCCCTACCGACTAGTCAAATCTGTATCTCATGAATAGTAACAAAGAGCCACAACAACCATCAATGCAAGATGCACCTTCAAACAAAGGTCGATTATTATCTGTTCATGGAATACGTCCTCCTCGTCATCATGAGCATCAGTCGCAGTAAGCCACCGACATAATAACAAACTATGAAAACAACATCACCTAATTTTTCCCTATATAGCCACGGTGGTCACGGACGACATCCACACAAGCCCGAAGAAAACCGCCCGGCACAACTCGGCGGATGCAAAGCACCGGAAACACCTACCGATACACTAAAGTAAGAAGACTAGTATGCTTTCTCTTGAAATCATGAATATAATCAATACTTTCCCATTTTAACAGACCGACCGAATCCGAAGGTCACGATGACAGCCACGAAGAAAACGTTGACAACGAAAACAACAGTCAACAATCCGGTGAAAGCGTTGAAAAAGACAACAATAGTCAAGGATCTGGTGAGAGCGTTGACAAAGACAACAATAGCCAAGGATCCGGTGAAAACGGTGAAAAAGACAACAACAGTCAAGGTTCTGGTGAAAGCGTTGAGAAAGATAACAACAGCAAAGGATCCGATGAAAATGTTGAAAAAGACAACAACAGTCAACAATCCGGTGAAAACGGTGAAAAAGACAACACCAGCCAAGGATCTGGTGAAAGCGTTGAAAAAGACAACAACAGCCAAGGATCTGGTGAAAGCGTTGAGAAAGACAACACCAGTCAAGGATCCGGTGAAAGTGTTGAGAAACACAACAACAGCCAAGGATCTGGTGAAAGCGTTGAGAAAGACAACAACAGTCAACAATCCGGTGAAAGTGTTGAAAAAGACAACAACAGCCAAGGATCCGGCGAAAACCCTGAAAA